TAACATATTTAAAGGGTATTTAATGTAAAATATGTTCGATTAGTCTCTGACTAGTGAAATGTGTAATTTGCAATATGGACTCTAGCAGCGATTGCAAAACACAGAATGTGATTGTAATACATACATGGACATTGCCCTGAAAGGGGTCGGAGCAAGTGCGGTTTACTCCGACCCTCATGTAGTACTAACCATCAACATTCAAGGACAATATATCATGGTACGGAAGGAGGAAGAGGTCTCAGAGTACCTGACCCTCCTAGGTCACTAAGACCTAAATTCCGATCAGGAGATCAGGCTGATTAAAGGAGGTGCCGGACCATCAATTGCCGGAAAAGTGTGAGCGAAGTTCAGTGTATGTTGGTTTATGATATTCTCCAATGTCAAATGTTTCAATTTTGTTGTACAAAAGGATGTCCATAAAAGGTAAAATAGACTTGTTGGAAATCACAGGTAACGTTTGTTATTATGTTTATCGTCGATAAACTTGGCCAGCCGTTGTTTCATTTTTAAACACCTACGTAACAGTTAATAAAAGGTGGTTTAAACTGAGAACAGTTTTAGCCATTTTTGATCGAAAAACGATGATAGGAGCAAAACACGAACCTATGCTAACTCTACGTGTTTATTCACAAAACTCCGTTAATTTGGAAAAAAACAAAATCTTTAGTTCAGACTTCGATTAATGCTTTATATGTTTGTCTATTTAACTTATTTATTAATGGATTATAGATAAACACTAATTCCAAGCATAAATCCATAGTATTATCTAGAGGTATGTTTGTGAATATATCTAACCTAACTAATACTTCTTCATAAAACCTCAGATTAGGTACGTACGCTGCAATGTTTTTCTCTGTTATGTAACACATATTGTGTTCGTTTTTGCTAAAATTGTCCAATATTGTTATTCTACAAAACCTAGAGAAACTCGGTTATCAGAATTGTAATTACTCTTCACATCCTGACCGATTCTACTGTTATTAGCGGGTCTAACTATTTGATACTTGCAGGGAAATCAGTTTTTAACTTTTAGTACAAAAGTGCATGACAGAAATACTTCAGAAACTCCGGTTATTTTCCCGTGTCACAAAAGGAATCTGGTTTCGTGATGAAATGTCTAAATTTGATTAAGACCTTTTGTAAAGAGATGAAATAAATTGTTTAAACAATTTTACACTCTTATCAAAATACGATTTGGTTCGTTATTAAGCGCAAAGCTACATAATGGGCTACATTTGCTTTGCCACCGCAGGTGTTGAAACCCGATTTTTAGCTATACAAGCCCACAGATTTGCGACACGAGTTAGAATTAGAAAAGCGAATTTTGAAACACTTTAAATGAACCTTACAAAGTATTAGGTCGTCAAGAAATTAATGTCGCTTTTTTTAGATGAAAAAACCCGAACAACTTATA